GTAAACGCCAGAAATCAAAGAAAATAAAAACAACAATAATAATAATAATAATAACAATAATAATAATAATAATAATAATAATAATAAAGTTGTCAAAGTACAAGGACCTTGAAATAGAAATCGCGAAAATGTGGCATATGGGAACATCAACAGTCCCTGTTGTAGTTGGAGCCCTAGGACTGGTTGGAAAAAAGATTCCAGTAGACTAATTGAAGGATTCCTGGAAGTCCATGCCTCAAGGAGATACAGAAAATTGTTCTGACAAGTACAGCCCACACCTTTACGAAGGGCTTTATCTATGTAATCATTTTTTTTTTTTTTTTGTCAGTGGAAAGTGTCATGACGCATTTCTAACCTTTAGGTCCTAGGCGGACCCGGAAAGAAATGTGTAAACGCCAGAAATCAAAAAAAAAAAAATAATAATATTATAATAATAATAATAATAATAATAATAATAATAAGAAGAAGAAGAAGAAGAAGAAGAAGAAGAAGAATTTGGAAATTGTGAGAGAAATCGGTGTTTTTCAACGGCAAAAGAAATTATTCAAATATAAGCCCATATCCTTATGTCAGAAACATGCCAGATTTTCTGGGATTTTTCAATACAAATAGATCAGAAACTGGGACCCAACAGACCGGACAGATTGGTGGAAGATAAAATAGAAAAGGCATTAATCATCGGTTCATCGTGTCCTTTTTATCCCCGTGGCAGTACCTGTACTTGGGGGAGGGGATGTGTTTATGGTCCAGTACCCGAAGCGTTCCCAAAACGAGAAAGTGCCAAGTGGGCTTGAGCAATTTCCCCATGGTTTACTGTTAAACCCATTTTAAATCTGGACATTGTGTCACATTCGGTAGCGACGTGGGAGCACTGAAAAATACCCATTGTAGCCTTTTGGTACAGGGATAGGGCAAAATGAAAAAGAAAAATAACCAACTAAGACTCATTGAAGTTTGAACTCAAAAGAGTTTGGAAGTTGAAGTTCCAAAAGTTATCATTGGTGTATTTGGTACGGTGACTGACAGAATTGAGACGATGATAAAGAAACTTGGCATTGATTGCACATTGGAACTGTTGCAGAATGGAAGAAAACCTCTTAGTAATGGAAAGAATAAGATAAATAAGCGATGAACACTTAAGAGAAAAATTCCATGATACCTCCATGATAGTTGTGGCCAGCTATCCATGCATTAATCACGAGATATTAAGGTCTTATTTGAGAAAATACTGGCAGAAATAAATAAATAATCGTTGTCGATATGATCATCCTGTCTGATAAATTCATTAATTTGATGAATTCACCAAATATAAGCATCCAGGAATAGAAATTACAAGAATGTGTCATTTAAACAGAAAGATTATCGCATTCGTCGTAGAGCAACTAAGTAAGATTAAGAAGAATACTAATCCTCGCATTAAAAAAATTCCAGGAAATCCATTTTTATCTAAAATAGAGAAGATTATGGCCATGAGTCCTGCTAACATACAAAGAAAAACCTTTTCATAAATTCCTAAAAAAAATCATCATTCACTTTTGATCTCAGTTGAAAGACTTGGTAAATAACTGGGTCAAGCAGCAAATAAAAAAGAAGTAGGAATAATAATAATAATAATAATAATAATAATAATAATAATAATAATAATAATAATAATAATAATAAAGACCACAAACAAAAACGGTGCCTCCTTGTAGATATGGCAGTCCCTACTGACTGCAATGTATCTTTGAAGATATTCAAAAAGCTGTCAAAATACAAGGACCTTGAAATAGAAATCTCGAAAATGTGGCATATGGGAACATCAACAATCCCCTGTTGTAGTTGGAGCCCTAGGACTAATTGGAAAATATTGCAGTAGACTAATTGAAGGGATTCCTGGAAGTCCATGCCTCAAGGAGATACAAAAATTGTTCTGACAAGGCAGCCCACACTTTACGAAGGGCTTTATCTATGTAATTTTTTTTTTTGTCAGTGGAAAGTAGTCATGACGCCATTTCTAACCTTAGGTCCCTGGGCGGGACCCGGAAAGAAATGTGTAAACGCCAGAAATCAAAGAAAATAATAATAAAATAATAATAATAATTACTGTCACCTTTAATAGTTTTGATTGTTGAGTGAGTATCATTAAGTTGTATTTTAGTCGAGTAACGGATGAAGAATGTCTAACATTTCAACACTTCTGTTATTTTCTTCGCCGTAACGTAGCTTCCCTGTGCCTTTTCTATAAATATTGAAAATAGTGTAGGGTAAATTTTTTAATGTGCTTTCTTCTTACGCCCTTCGACTTCACGAATTTAAACGCAGTACTAGACTGGCAGATAGGTTTTATTATTTGGTGTGGGAGTAAGTCAATAGGCTAATAATTTCTTCTGTCGCACTTCTCACTTGTAGAACACCATTCCGGCCTTTTTTTTGTTGTTGTTGTTCCTGTCAACTACGATCTTCAAAAATTTAAAAGCAATGTCAATCTTTTGTCTCCTAGAACTCTGGTCGTTTATTGCTTTCTTTCTAACCCCCCTCCCTCGCTCTCTCCTTACCTCCCTCTCTTTCTCTCCATCTCTCTCTCTCCTCTTCCCGTTCTCACCTCTCTCACATTCGCTCGCTCTCTCCCTACCTCCCTCTCTTTCTCTCCATCTCTCTCTCTCCTCTTCCCGCTCTCACCTCTCTCATTCGCTCGCTCTCTCCCTACCTCCTTCTCTTTCTCTCCATCTCTCTCTTTCCTCTTCCCGCTCTCACCTCTCTCACATTCGCTCGCTCTCTCCCCTCCCTCGCTCTCTCCCTACCTCCCTCTCTTTATCTCCATCTCTCTCTCCTTCCCGCTCTCACCTCTCTCATTCGCTCACTCTCCCTCCCTCGCTCTCTCCCTACCTCCTCTCTCTTTCTCCATCTCTCTCTCCTCTTCCCGCTCTCACCTCTCTCACATTCGCTCGCTCTCTCCCCTCCCTCGCTCTCTCCCTACCTCCCTCTCTTTATCTCCATCTCTCTCTCCTCTTCCCGCTCTCACCTCTCTCACATTCGCTCGCTCTCTCCCCTCCCTCGCTCTCGCCCTACCTCCCCCTCTTTCTCTCCATCTCTCCCCCTTCCCTCTCTCACATTCGCTCTCCCCGCTCTCCCCTATATCTCCTTTCTTTTCTCTCTCTCTCCTTCTCTCTCTCTTTCTCTGTCTCTCAATAAAGTTTTATCAGTTTCCTTTACACTTTCGTCTTAGTTACTTTATCGCCTTGCTTGGGGTGAAATTCTTTCTATGTCTATTTCTTAATCTAACTCTATATTCAGAGGAAGATTGTCATGCGCAGAAAAAACTTGTTTAAACGTGCAAAATCTTTTCGTTGATCTCAGTTCCACGTTGACCTTCGAGTGGTAGGAAATATTTTTACCAATTGGAAATTTACCGATTTTCTTGCTTATTTTATTCGCATAGTTAAGACAAAATCAAGTTTGACTCGTTATTTAACTTGAAACTTTCCTTCTGCGTATGCGTACGTTTTGTTCATCCATTTAGATAAACAGATTCGGCTGTAATGTCGAGAAGACGACAAGGGTGTGGTCTTTGTTTCGGTTCTGAAAGAGCCGTGAATCTAAATGTTTTTGACAACGTTTCAACATATGTCACACCCTACAAACTGGAACAAGTCATACACGCAGACCAGGTGTCAACTTGAAAAGGTGGGGCCCAGTTTTTTCAAGGCAAAAACCTCATTTTCCAAACAACGCAAATTTTTTCGTGACTTCTTTTCACACGCTAAATGACTCTTGGTCGATTATAAAACCAGATAAGCGGAGTTATTTATATTGTTTAGGCTGAACAAGTTTTATAAGGAGCGTAACAGCGTCTGTTGATGACAGAAAAGAACGCTCACTGAGTTGTTTTTGCTGTTGTTCATATTGGAAACGAGATTTTCTTTGTCCAATATTCGATTGGCATAAATTACTTCGATAACAATTAATCTGATCAGATTTTATTCCAGTTTATACACAGAGAAGTTTGTATAATCAAGATAATATAACGTGTGAAGGTTACTGCAGAGTGATGGTTAACAAACTAATTTTGCGAACTATTTTGAATTTGATCTTCAGTTGATGCTCCACACTTTGTTGTTGAATAAGCGAAACTTAATAATTCATGACAATTGAAGAGTTTTATAAAATTAGCCCAAATTTAGGTAATACAAGGAAGAGTGGCATCGCTGTTAATGTCGTAAATGAAGACTTGAATTTAGAAGCAACAACATCACGTGACCGGAAGTCAGGGGTCAATCGTAATCTTTCCTTCGTATCATCATGATCTTCCATATCATACACTTCATTCAACATGAACATTTAAGAGTTCTCTAGCTTTGTATCAAGTGAAATTTAATACATACACACACACACACACACACACACACACATATATATATATATATATATATATATATATATATATATGTGTGTGTGTGTGTATGTATGTATGTATGTATGTATGTATAATATTTAATATAATATATATGTATAATATTTAATAAAGTTAACATGTATAATATAATATATATGTATAATATTTACTTTATTTTATTGTTTGAGGATCGCATAAGCGTGAAACCCAGGGTTACATTGAAATATATATATATATATATATATATATATATATATATAGAGAGAGAGAGAGAGAGAGAGAGAGATCTTCGACAGTATTTTCAATTTAAGAATTTATTACAGAACTCATTTCCCTGATACACAGAAATGAATCAAAATACATTTTAGTACCAATTCTTACGTTCTGTGTTGATCCTGGCTTCAGTTCTTCATATTCCAATGCCACATCATAGACTGTATCCAAAAAAGACGATTTCTTTTTCATATTTGCTTTATTATACGAAAGGGGCAGACGTGATAAAATCAAATCTAGGATGTAACGGGAAAAAGATCGCTAAAGAAATGTACACTGACTCCTTGACTTCGCATTTCGCCACGTTCGGGATAGCCTCTCTAAAGAATCTGAATGCGGGAGAGGTGGGGAGTCTTCAAACTTCTTGCGGGGCGACGACTCTTTTCGTGTCGTTTTGGTCTTATATCCAAATGCAATTTATCACTGCTAGAATTCTATTCTCACGAGGCTCCTTTTAACCAGTCACTTGTCATCCTGGCCTAGCCTCCGCATTCTCTGACATTATATAATTGATTATAAACGATAAATGTATCTCCGAAGAACATGCACTGAATTGCTGTTATAAAAGATTCATCTCGTAAGCCATATTTTTTGTTTGTTTTTTTCTTTGTTATTCCAGCAAACATCAATAATTTTGATCAGTTCAGTGTTTATTCTCATCATTTTTAGAGTTATTCGCTGAAAACTGAAAATTATTTAGTGAAGTTGATTAAAGAATATTTTCTATTTGAATCTTTAATTAATGTCCCCCCCCCTTAACGAAAGAAGTAAACACAGATCAAGAAAATCTGGGTTTTAGATCGAGGAAATCTTAGAAGAGAAATTCTGTGATTTTCCCATAATTCTCTTGGGAATTCCAATCTAAAGAATTTCAAACAGCAATACGGGTTATGGTATTAATTGCTAATAAGAAACGGTCATCAAATATTTTACAAACACATAGCTTAATGAAAGAAAGCTGCTTTGTTGTCGGGTTTAGGGCCATAATTTCTTATACTAATCCGTGATTGCGATTTTGATTGTATAAGTGATTATGTTTTTCATCGCGACAACAAAAACAAAAACAGAACACACTGAACCTCTTGAGATTCATGGAGGACTTTGTAATCTAAAATTTTAATTTTATTCACCTAATTTATACATCGATTTGCAACGGACAATACTCTCTCTCATTTATTGTCTTATTTTCCTCCATTTTCTTTCTTTTCCCTTCCTCTTCTTTGTTTATTTATTTTATCTGTGCCGTTCCTTAGCAAAAACCACGAAGGTTTTAGCCGTCACTTCAGCCAGCGACATGTATCTTCCTGTTGTAGTAATGATTCATAGCAATAGGACTTTCTGTATGTAGCCGTAAATGAATATCAATAGTGTTTCTCTTGCTGATCGGGTTTCGAACTTAACTACTTGGAAAGCGATTGAAACCTTGACTTCAACAAATACCTACTTGTAATGATTTTTAATAAATGTCATGGTTTTCTTTGAGCACAAAAATATATTTACTTCACCTCAACTCAAACGTACTAACCCGACTCTGTTATATTTCTGTGAATGTTCGATTATAATAAATTATTCAATTTAAAAAAAAATAATTATTTATTATAAAAAAATAAAATTAATGAATATCATCATTACTAATTGCAGTCCTAAAAAACATAAACTAACATGATATATGAATTCTTATATCTAAAATAATGTTGGTGATGTTGGTTATATAACCACAACATTTTCTTGCAGGTTAACTTACCAGTTATCTGACCAAAATGCAGTAAAATCGCATCTTAAAAAATATAGTATTCTTATTAATATAAAATCCATATATTACTTGCATCTTATACAAAATTAACGGCAAACCGAGCCTTAAAAACTCACATTAAATAAAGCATCCACTCGTTTAGGAAATGGGGTTTTCAATATTTTCAATAAGTAATTAACAACAAATTGTATTAACCGATTTTAAAGTGGCATTGTGGTAAAGTCATTATTATAAACGGGAAATAATGTTAACTAATTCAAGTCTAATTCAAGATTTTTCTGAGTGAAAAGTTAACTGCTTAGAGCAAAATTGATGTGGTTAAACAAGAAACAGATGAGATTTGAAAAATCAAACAATACTGAAACTATGAAGAAGAAACTAACAGAAGCTAAATACGGTGAAGAGAGACAGAGAGAGAGAGAGAGAGAGAAGGGAAGAAAAAATCTAAGATCATAAACAGGAACAGAAAGAATAAAAATGAAATCTGATCGTGTAAACGTCTAATAAAAAGAAAAAAAAGAGTGTAATTGAAAAGAGGATAAAAAATTTGTGGAAAACAGGTTCTTGGTTGGCCTATTCATGGGGGCCAAACGCGCCATTGGCCGCTAAACAGACTCTGCTCCTTAAGTGCACAACCCCCCCCCTGCTGACGATTCGATGGCGAACCAAGTTGGACCAGAACAGAACGAGCTTGGCACACAACTCTAAACGCTAATTGTTCTGCACTTAGTGCCACTCTGACCTCATTTTACAGCCGGTTGGATTAAAACGATGCACTTGCAGATACGTGCACAAAGACACACAGGCAGAAAGCCAAGTAGACGCATTCAAGATCTTTGTGCCGACGTCCATACATAAAGCCATACATTCATGCTTTCACTGCACGTACGCAACGACGAAGTCACCCATTATTGTTGACCTGTGTCAGCTAAACTTAGAAAATATCCTCATCCACGAAAACGCGATACAAAAACAGAAAACAAAGATACAATTGCATTACGCAGGGGCTTATGTAAGGCGAAGTGTGCTACGCCTTACCGTGGAGCAATTGTTTCTGCAATTAAATCTTGCAGTCTCTAATCAATGCATTTGGTTTTACATCTGTTGCATTTTGCTCTCGAGTTAAGCTTAGAGAATTATTATATAAGCAAATATGTACACTTTTTTTTTTTCCGAAAAAAATAATTATATGAATACACGACAACAGGATTAGTATTGCTGATCCTTTTTCTTTGTAATAAGTCGGAATAACATAAAACCAAGCTTAGTATAAAAGAAACTGAAACTAATAACGCGGTTTCAGCTTATGTTTGCTCGTTCCTTTGTCTACTTAGAAAAGTATTAAAGTCACAGTTTTTTTTATTCTTTTCTTGTTGCTTTCGGTAAATTTTGCCGCCATTGTCTAGAAACAATGGAAAAAGAATTGTGGGCCCAAAACTGTGCAAATGTCATAACAATAATCTGAACATAAATCTTTAGAGAAGAAATACGTTATAACTCATAATTTTGTAGATAGCTTCATATTGATTTGAATCAATCAAATAAAATGCATAATCGATGCTGCTCATTACAATAAGCTGCAGCACTGTTCAGGTGACCACTCCCAAGACTGTACAAAGAATGAAAGAAATATGGGTGCCATTATTATGATATTATTAGTTCGGTTTTTGTGTTCAGATATCCGTCGTCTGTTAATAAACTACCCAGATAGCCAATTAAATTATTTTACCTTCTTGAATTTGACGTCTCCAATATCCAGCCCACACTTCGGGCTCTTCTTTTTGCTGACAACCATGCATTTTGTCTTTGGTTGAAAAATAAACAGACTTTCACCTTTAAAAAAAAGAACAGTTTACTGTAAAGTCTCTCCACCTTCAATTGTTTTACACAACGTTTATATTTTGACAAAAGGAACAAATCAGTTATTAAAGAAGATCTACAGACGGCACCAAAGAATTAAGAACAAATTATAATTTGAAGAAAAATAAAAATCAGTTGATTTTTAAACTAATGTGCAATTTGTTTAAAAATAAATTGTTTTTTTTTTCTATTTCATCTTCAGCTTTTTCTATTACATGACCAACATTAAAAGAACGGATTATTCAATTAATCTGTCACTAAGAAGATTTCGATGCGGCTTCGTAAGCGACGGCGTGCTCAGATCAGGTGGTTTTGATTTCTATTGACCACTATGTCCACAAGGAAACTTTGCAAGTTACCGTATGCCTGGATCATATGATTTTCTCTTACTTTGGGCATCATGCCCACGATGCGACCTCGGAAGTGACTGCCAGGTGGTTCTCGTTCATGTCGATTATCAACCGCATGATGGTTGCTTTCAACCAGACCTTTGTATCGTAGAGATATTGTAGTGTAAGCGATTCAAGAGAGGTAAAATGCGATATGTTGCGAGTCATGTGGCCATTCTCGACCAGCTACTCCTGGACCGTATGGAATCGAACATAGTCTTCCGAGAACATATACGGTTTCATCTGCGCCATAACCCTTGAACTAGGAGGTCATGTATCTCGATGTAAACTGAAACATTGTGTCTGTGGACCAGAAGAATAAAGTGGCTCTATGAAATGACCCTTGTTGCTCAGAGCCCCAGGGCCATCACAGATGATTTGAATTTGAAGTGCATCTTCGTGTCTATCTCAATGTGATACACGTAAAGCCACCATATCATTCCTCCTTTTAACCTTCTAAGCATCAGAAGCGATAAAAATGACAGAAAGCGACAGGCCTCGAAAACACGAGAAGATAGTGAATGATTTGGGCAAAAGGATACGTTATGCAGACATATTGGCTTGAAAGGCTATGATTTGACTTTGTTGTAATTAACACACCTCACTTACTCGATCTGATTACTTTTTAATTTTGAAAGAAAACATAGTTGTCTTTTCTCGGTATATTTTTGTGTAAACAGAGTGTCTGAAACTTGACCTCGTGACAAATGTTTTCTTGCTCTAATCTCTTGAGCTAAATACCTTTTGTGTTTTGTTTGGATTTAGAGGGAGATGAAATGTCTTTTCAGGCGAAAATATAAAGAAAAACACTCTCAGAAGTGGAACAATAAGCGAAATCCCAGTAGAAAACTAACACACATTCCTCGATAGAGCACTACGAAAGAAAATACATGAAACCACGTTCGGAGGTGAATTCTCGTTTACTCTCGTGTGACATTTGGCTATTTCTTTTACCTCCGCGAGCGCATTCTCACACAAATGAATATAAAATGAATTTTGAATGTTGTAGATTTTACAGCGAAGAAAACTGCTAATTTTTGTGAGGATGAAAGTTTGGAATGTTTTTAAATTTCCCAAACGCCTCAGATGACTTTATATTATTTTGAAGTTGATCCGAATATTATTTGCAATTGTAAATATATTTTTGGGGAACTTATTAATAGAAAAATGTTCTGGCATTTTAAAAGGAAGAATAACTACTGATTTTCTTAAACATAAACAATGAAACTAATAAAAAGATTACAGTAAGCAGTTAAGTAAAGAAAAAAATACCTGAAAAAAATGTGTTTATTTAAAATCAATATTGTTTTTAATAAAAGTACTGTGACTGGGTAAATGTTTCTGAAGATTATGTTTTTATAAACTAGAAACTCAAGATTCAATCAGCTTTTATGGGAAATGTTTGCTCGCTAATAGCTGCGTATTTTTCATTGGATTTGTTGGTTATCTTTCCATATAGGCTTTCGCAACCTGATCTTCAAGGCAGGATCGTCTCCCATTTGAAATATTATTGCAACCCAGTCGTTCTACTCATAATTTTGAACTACTTGTTCTTTAGTATATATGAAAAACCATAAAAATATCTTCTATGGGCAAGGGACGCTTAACATTAAGTAACAATAGTTGAAGTCATTACTTTCACAGGTAACAAATAGATAAATTCTAAAATCCGTAATCAAAAAATATACCTTTTTTCATTATAGTTTGGCGCTTGTTACAGTGAAGGTTTTATGACGCTGCTCTCGTAAGCCATAGATTTGAACCTTTCTGAATACGCTGAGTTATTTCAAAATAGACCTCATCTACCAATTCTTGCTAAAAGGACACAAAGTATATCTTTCCAACGATTATGACTGTAGTGAGCTTGATCCTAACTTAGTGTCCACATTTGTAGCTTTGTGCCAAAGTTTGGTAAAAGTTTATATTGAACATCTCCTTCGGCTTTCTTCCAGCTTTCCTTCATATTTTTTCTACATCTTTCGTTTCCAGGCATCGATTATTGCGTTACATCTGAACGAACTATTACACGAATCATCGTCATCATTTCCGTCGGTCGGTTATTTGCCATGCGTGATACACGCGTAGGCGATCATGTATCTTTCGATACATGACTGACGAGGCAGATCGTTTCCCCGCAGTAGGTTGCCATTTCTTTCTGCGGCAGACCAGTTGCCATCAAAGGCTATAGAACCCGGCCTGTCCTGCTATTTACCCATAGCTCAAGAAGAAGAGAAGAATGTAATGGATTCGACTAGAATTCGAATTCGGCTCTTCGATTCCTCAATCCGAGCCGCTATCCCTTACTCCACCGTGCGTCCAGTGATAGAAATGTCTAAACCCACTTCAAACGACGAGATTGGATCATTAATCGCGTAGCTTGACGCATAATTATTAACTAAATTTTGATTTGAAGTTTTCATCGTATAATTGCTTTTTATCGATATCATTAATACTCGCCAGTGAATGAAATGCATTCACACAGAAGGATATTATGTTGAAAAAGAAATATTGTGTAAAATAAAAGGTTTTTTTTTTCATTAGGCAATCAACTTACTGATATACCTACGTATATATAAGCTTACATACCTATGCGTACAAGAAGGAGTTATAGTATAAATTTATATAAGCAAATTCTAGTTTGGAAATGTTGTGAGGAAACAATTTTGAAACTTTGAACTTTACGAAAGCTAAATATTCTCGGAAATTCATTACCTTCGAATTTGCTTATTTATTTATCGAATTTATAGTCAGGTAGAGGGTCACTAAAAATAGTCAAGTAGAGGGTCACTAATACCTGAGTCAGGTAGAGGTCATCAATAATTGAGTCAGGTAGAGGGTCACTAATACTTGAGTCAGATAGAGGTCATCAATAATTGAGACAGGTAGAAGTCATCAATAATTGAGTCAGGTAGAGATCACTAATAATTGAGTTAGTTAGAGGGTCACTAATAATTGAGTCAGGTAGAGGGTCACTAATAATTGGGTCAAGCTGTGAAAAGTAATCTGACTAGCATGAGTTTCATTAGTTAAGCATGTTTCTCCCTTTGAAAAAAGAAGGTTCTGACGATCTCATTGCAGTTGAATACAGAAAATATCTGCGCGGTCGGGGGGGAGTAACTTTGAACTTTGAATTTTGTATGAATACAGAACTATCTGCAAAACGGGAAGAAAGAAAAAGTCAAAAACGAAACCCACATAAAAATATATTACATTCATTTTTTACACAATGTACACAAACATATAATTGATTATTGCTAGATTTGATGTTTTTACGGCTTATCAACCCTCTGTAGGTTATTTAAAGCCAAAGTATATGTCCGATTCTAGGATTGATTGATTCATTAATTTTCCAAGGCTTATGAGCCGTTTGCGAGTTATTTAAAGTCAGAAAATATTTTTACATTTTTAGACTTGAGATAATAATGGTTTTAGTGAAACAAGTCTTACTAATTAACCCATAGCTGGTGGGAGAAGAATTGGTTTCATACCTTTCCCATGAGTATTTGCGCGAAAGTGAATATAACGAACCCTACTGGAATTCGAACTCGGCTCTTCGATTTCCAATTCCGAGCCATTACCCATTACATCCACTTGTACATACAAGCTTACATCAACTGGTATTCCGAAGCGGTCACCCATCTAGGTACTGACCAGCCTCGACGTTGCTTAACATCGGCGATCGCATGGAAACCGGTGTTTCAACGTGATAAGACCATAAGCCTCCGATTGTCGGAGGTTGCTCACATTAGCCGATGTTCCCAAGCTGTCCCCACTCTAAGTACTGACCAAGCTCGACGTTGCTTAACTTCGATAATCGAACGAGAACTAGTGCTTTCAGCCTGATCTAACCCTAGGCTCACAAACGAATACAGATATGTATATAAGTTCAAATGCGTCTCTACACATGTGCGGTATTTACGGACCTATGAAGTGAATCTTTTTTTTACAAATGAAAAAATAGTTTCCAATGTCGAGATTATAAAGATCGAATATTGGTAATATTAAGTGGACGCAAAATCGAACTCAACGGCAACAATTCGTAGTCGAAAGCAGAATGACGACGAAATAAAACAGCACAAGACATTAGAGAAAAGGTTTCAGCTCGAACTTTGGTGCGAATGCTACAGATCGCACATAGAAAGGGACAAGGTAAGATGGCGTTATCAATAACTCAACCTCCAATTAAGACAACGAATACACAAGAGTTCTACAGAGAGAGAGTGAGAATGGAGATGGGTGAAGAGGGAAGAACAAAAGAGAACGAGAAAGAGAAGAAGAACAAAGAGAAATAGGTGAGAAAGAAAGAGAAGAGAAAGAGAACAGAGAAAGTATGAGGGGGAGAAATAAAGATACAAAGAGGTATATTTAGGGAGATGAAGACACTGTGAATAATAAGGGGAGAGGGAAGAAAAGATAGGCGGAGTAAGAGAGTCGAGGGTGAGAATGATGAGTGAGAAAACGAGAGAGTTAAGAGAAGCTAAAATAGAGAGTGTCAGAATGAGAAGCAAAGGGGGCGAGAGGGATAAGATAGCTCGGATTTATACGACTTATCTACCTTCTGTGGGTCATTTTTAAGGCAGATATACTTGAAAGAGGGCAGTAATGAGAAAGCAGTTATTTTATTTTTTTAAAAAACAAATGAAGCAGCTTTTTACAACCTTATCTTTATCGACAGATAACTTCTTGTTTTTCTAATTATACAAAAGAACATATTGATGTGATATATATATATATATATATATATATATACATCATAAACAGTTTGAAAAATCCTGCGAATTTTAAATTTTAAATTCGTAGGGAAAATGGTCATTAACTAAAGGTAATCCGAATTTTCTTTCTAGAATTCTAGAAAAGAAAATTCGGATTACTTCACACAAACAGAATGTCTCATATCGAGAATATTCCACATTGAACATGAAGAAAAATTAATTATTTTTAATAATATGTAAAAATCTCCACTTTCACCTGAAGACGGTTGCGAGACCAGACCAGAAACACGTGTCGTGAAATTATGTAAAACAAAGTATAATATTTTTTCTCAATAAATCCACATTACAACCAAAAACGTTTGCGGCACCCCTCTTCTTTTTTATATATATATATATATATATATATATATGTGTGTGTGTGTGTGTGTGTGTGTGTGTGTGTGTGTGTGTGTGTGTAAATGGTTGAACCCATCAACACAACGATAAAAACAATATCTCCACATGTGACAGTACTTGACGTAATTTTCAATTAACAGTATGAAAATAGCGTTCTCTAAATTCTTCCAGTTGCTAAGGACATTTTGTTTTGTTGTTATTATTATTAGTTACTTTGTTTAATAAATACATTTCGGTTTTTGCCTTGAAAAAAGTCCACATTGGACGAAACGCGTTGGCTACTATTACAGTTTTCCCATTTTCTTTTTACATTTATAAGTGTTGTCTTTTCTACAGGTTAACTCTGAAAAATTTTTCATATATATATATATATATATGTGTGTGTGTGTGTGTGTGTGTGTGTGTGTGTGTGTGTGTGTGTGTGTGTGTGTGTGTGTGTGAAAATATATAGAAAATAGGAAGGAACTGGTTAGGTAAATAATCCAAAAGTTCCTTAGTATTTTAGTTATTATTTTAAAATAGTGCTCGATGCAAAAGTAGACCATAAATATAATTATTTATTTCAAAAATTTCGCTTGAAGATGGAACAGAGCTTACTTTAACTCAATTTAATTCAAATAATTATATTGAAGTTTTCGGCTCTTGTTTTGAAACATGAGACCTCTTATGTCGCGAGTTGGTATCATATTTTTAAATAAATAATTATATAATATATATATATATATATATGTGTGTGTGTGTGTGTGTGTGTGTGTGTGTGTGTGTGTGTGTGTGTGTGTGTGTTGACACAAAGGCTAACTTGAAAAAGAAATAATCCTGTTTTATTTATATGAGAAGGAAAAGACAAGCTCAAAACTAATAACGACCAGAACATAACTGATCAATTTGCCGATCAATTTAACTTCTGGGAATCGGAAGCTCCAACCGGATATTAAGTTCAATCAAATGACGTCTGTTGATGGCACGGAAAACCATAAATGCTATGAAATCAGCAGATAATGATAAAATAGACAAATAAGCCATCAATAAATGCTGCTTTTTTTTTCCGAAATAAATAAATATTTCGGTCAAGAGCAAAAATGTCAGCGGGCAGGTCTTAGATGACCTAATTTTATTTCTTTGTCTTAAAAAAATATTTTTTCTACAATTGGCCATAACTGTTTTATGTTGACTAGAATTCATGAAATAATTTCCACCACTTAATTCACAGGCTTAACAATCCTACTCATTTATAAAACCATACACGTACACCCTCAACTTGATCTATGGAGGCCCCCCGCCGTTGATCGCCACGTATGAAGGACGAGGGTCTAACACTTCAAATTTTAGAATTGGGCCACCAGACTGCCCGCACATAGGATTTGATTATCGGAGTGAAGCTTTGTGTCGAACCAGGCCACACAATATGTCAAGAAGTCGCCAAATAGCCTCCCTCATGTTTAAATTCAGAGTTTTTCCATAATGATGGATCCATAATATTTTTCCCCAAGTACTTAGTGAGAAAGTGAATATGACTAAGACTTCGAATTTGACTCGCCGATTTGTCTTGCCTAGATAGTCCAGTCAATACATACATATATATATATATATATATATATATATATATATATATATATATATATATATATATATATATATATATATATATATATAAATAAAAACAGACCACTTTAAGGTTCCATGTAATAAATTATTTCACCACAGCCCTTTTAAAAAGGACTGCGGATCATCAGACTTTACTTCCAAACAAAAAAATATATATATATCTAGATATATAGCCTCGTCCACTCATCAGGAGATATCAACGATTGGCTGTTATTTCCTCGGTTTCGTTACTTATATTTAGTTAAAAATAATTGATACACTTTTTATTGGAGCTAGTTTGATTTTTCTTCTTTCATTGTGTGTTTGCCTGGTCGCGCACATGTGTGCATGTCCATACGTGTGGTTTATTCTCCTTTTTCTTAGCTCTTTCTACCCCCTTTTACCTTTCTCTTTCTTTCTACCCACTCCTTACCTTTCTCTTTCTTTCTACCCCCTCCTTACCTTTCTCCTTACCTTTGAGTGTCTGAGACAAATGTAACAGTCAATCTCTTCTATTCTTTCTTGAGTTTAGTTTTAAATGTAGGTGTATTTCATTTTTTTTAACTTAAATACATTTTTATGATTACTATTTACATTATTCGCCATATTTATTACAACGTTTCGACCTTCTTCAGGCGGTTGGAATGTCGAACTGAACCCTTTATTTCGCTCACTGGGGTAGACTGTTCTAGTTCCACGTGCCATGTTTTTAATGGATGTCAATTGTCTCTTCAAGTTCTCCACTGCCTTAACCGGGTATTGAACTCACACTCTTTGGGTGCGACTTATAGTTGATCCTGTCACTGGATCCAACCAGCGACTTTATCCACCGTGCCATGTGTCCTTGCATGAATTTCTGGCTATTATAAACCTAATGTCTTCAGCAACCATTTTTACCAGTGCTCATATTGCAATTTTTTGCTGTTATCATTGCATTTTTATGATTATTTCTTATAAACTAAAGTAAATTTTTAATAATTACGAGTTTGTAGGTAAATAATTTGCAGTTTTGTGAGAATAAATTAAGTGTATATAGTTCTTCGTTAGCTGGATAAAACTTGTAAATAATCCATGTTTTCTTAAATGTGAATTGGCGTGAGGTGAACTTTCGATAAGCAGTAGGTACGTATAAAGACTTAATTCCATTTACTTCTAAGTTTTTATCTACATAAACAATAAGCTTTACCCCACCCAGTGAAGTTTCTTTCTACATAAGCTCCAAACCATCCTATCTCAAATAGGCCAAGATTTATTAGACTTAGAGCCTACCGCCATTTTTTCAAATGATTGATTGATTCATTCATTTTCTACGGCTTATTAACCCATTTAAAACCAGAAAATATTTTTAGATAGTAAGAATTATGGTTGGAGATAATAATGGTTTTAGTGATGCAGGTTTTACTAATTAACCCATAGCTGGGAGGAGAAGAGGTGAATTTAAACTGTTCCCAAGGATATTTGCACGTAAAAGAATATAACGAAATTAACGCGAGTTAGAACTCGGCTCTCCGATTAACAATTCTGAGTTATTATCCATTACGCGATCGGCGCATCCAAGCTTACAGCATCTGGTATTCCGATGTGGTCCCCCCCTCTACAGGGTGCCCCACCCCACAAGAGGAGGAGATTTGCTACAGTTTATTTAATAGTTGGAATTTTTGTTGCAGTTTTTTGAAACAAAAGCAAAGAATAGACTTTAGTAGCTTAAAACAAAACAAAAACACAAATGTTATATGTGATGTTTAAACTAAAAAAAATATTTTTTTTATTTATTAGTTTTTATTATTATTATTATTATTATTATTATTATTATTATTATTATTATTTTCTTTGATTTCTGGCGTTTACACATTTCTTTCCGGGTCCCCCAGGGACCTAAGGTTAGAAATGGCGTCATGACACTTTCCACTGACAAAAAAAAAAAAAATTACATAGATAAAGCCCTTCGTAAGGTGTGGGCTGTACTTGTGAGAACAATTTTTTGTATCTCTTTGAGGCATGGACTTCCAGGAATCCCTTCAATTAGTCTACTGGAATCTTTTCCAACCAGTCCTAGGGCTCCAACTACAACAGGGATTGTTGATGTTCCCATATGCCACATTTTCGAGATTTCTATTTCAAGGTCCTTGTACTTTGACAACTTTTTGAATATCTTCAA